GAGAGAGAGAGAGAGAGAGAGAGAGAGAGAGAGAGAGATAGAGAGAGAGAGAGAGAGCAATTAATAGGAAGATAGAAAGAGAATGGGAGAGAGAAGAACAAGCTCCCACGAATTCACTTAAACTCTGTTCGTTGGTCTGTTCTTTCCAAATTACTGTCTGTGGGTGGTTGGTGGGTTCTCTTGTGTGGTTTGCTCCTTCTTTCCCATCAAACATCTATCGTCCTTATCTCTCCTCCTTTTTTTTGTGCATGTTACCCTCTTGTAACACATCTCTATTCTTCGGCACTTATACGACCTTATTGTGTTGCAAGTGCCGTAAAACTCTTACAAAAACGAAATTACCCCTTCAACCTACTGGGTGGCATATTGTGGCGTTGTGGCCTGTTACGCGTTACCCGCGACGTTATTCACATTCTTTTTTTGCAGTTTACCAGGCACCCATTAATTGCAGTGAACCTGATGAACAAAAGTGTAACATACCTATTCTGAGCATGCAACATCCAACCTGACAGGACCAAATCATAATCGTGTTAGGTTAGAGGGCGCCACTGACAGATCCTACCCCCCCCCCCCCCCCCCCCCCCCCATGGTTGTTTCTATCTATCCGTCTTGCTTCTTCTCCATGCACTTACTGACATCAGTTATAGATCTAGTGCCGATGTGCTTCTCGTCGGGCCCCACTCAAACTCAAAACGAACCAGGAATCGAACTCACTTCTCTTGGCTCAGCTAAGACGCGTCTGGTGGGCATTTATTTTATCGTATCCCCTGGAAATTGTTTGCCCGAGTGGGAAGGAATTTCCCCGGCTCCCACTCGACTCTCCACTTAACTACTTATCGTGCAAGTGTGGTTGGAGATGATTTGAAGAAGCAGGGGAGAGGGAAACGGAGAAAAGGACATTATCCTGTTCAAAAGATTCAATATCAGCGTATTATGATGAACATTTTGATGTGCTATGTTCCTGTTCTATGAAATCTGCAACCATTTTTGCTGTCTCGTCTCTCGTCTCTCTCTCTCTCTCTCTCTC